TACCAGCTCAGAGGTTAAGGGCTGGGTCAGTGGGACCAGGAAACTGCCACAATGAGGATTAGTAGTCACATCGAGGTAGCTTGTCCCAGAGTTGAGACAGCTAATCCTTAATGCCTCGCTGGAGATTTTCAATGAGAAATTCATCCCACGACCCTCAAGGCTGGGGCTCTTGTCCCCAAAAGGCAAATACCTGCCATGCAAGGAGAACCAACTGTACCCTGGAGAGGGGAGAGGGAGGGGCAGGATGCCACCTCTTCTCTTTCCGGGATGACCCGGACGCAAGGGCCTGGACCTCAGATGACCTCTGAGAGTACCGACCTCCCCACCCGCCACCGAAGACCCTTCCCGTGCCCCCTCACACTCACGGCCTGGGGGGTTTGGAGGGTGTCTGCTGGGGTGGAAGGGGGCAGTGACGCGGCACCCCAGCATTGTGCCAACCCCACACCGACGTCCTGTCATGGCACAATGGACTGCGGCAGCACTGAGCCCGGGACTAGCCCCCAGAGCGGAGAAGCGGGCTCAGAGGGGCCAGGGATGCCCGAGGCCACAGCTGAGGGGAGAAGTCGGCCTGGCCAGCCAAGCCCACGCTCCGGGCCACCTCCCAGACCCAGGGTCACCAGGAGCAAGCGGGAGCCAGAGAGAGAAAGGAGAGGTGGGTTGTACCGTAACGTTTGCGGAGAGGCAGATACGTGTGGAAAGTACTAGAGACAGAACACCATGGCTCTCCCTTGGGGAGCCACCTGGGGACAAAGCCCCTGACCTGTGTGTAGAAATTATAACAGCAACTCAACGAACATTTCTTCAACAAGGGGTCTTTGTGGCACTGAGGACATGGCAGAGAACAAAACAGAATCCCTTTCTCCTGGAGCTTCCATGGAAGCTTCCTCCCATTAGAAAGAACCCACGGGACGTATCCGTGGGACCTTGTCTGCTCTTCAGACCGGTCTGACACTACGAGCGCCCACTTTACAGATGACTAAGCTGAGGAGGTAAGGGCGCAGGGCTAGGAAACGGCGGAGCGAGGATTTGAACCCAGGCCCGTGTGTCCCTTGTCACCCTCCCAATTTCCCTGCTTATTGCAGTAATGATGATGATGACGGTGACTGGGATCCACGGGGCACCTTCTCCAGCAGGAGCCGAGCTGGGCTCTCCACTCCCATTTCTGCACGTGGTCCCCGCAGCGGCTCTTCTGAGGTAGAGACCATTCTAATTCTCATTCTGTGGTAAAAACCAGAGGCTCAGAGAGGCGAGGGCGCCTGTCTGCTCTCACACAGTCAGCAAGGGGAAAGCCTGAGACACACACCCTCTTCAGCTCCTCAGGGCTTCACGGCCCACCAAGATTAGGAGCACGGTCACCATTAATTGAGCATTAAGCGCACCGGATGCACTGTCGCATTTCATCTTCTCCATGATGCCACGGGGTCAGGGCTCTGTGCGGGTGGGGAAACTGAGGTGGGGAGCAGTGGAGTGACCAGAGACCAGCAAGACCTACAATCCTCATGGGTCAAGGGCCTACCGCGTGCTAACCCTTCCACACGGGTCATCCTCCTCATCCTGTAAGGCCTGTTGTTAGTCCCATGTCACAGATCAGGAACCTGAGGCTCAGCGAAGTGACACTCCTTGTCCAAGCCATTCAGCCAGCGACAGGAAGAGAGAGAGGATTCGAACCCAGGCCTGCCCAAGCCCGGAGTCAGGCTCTGACCACCATCCTCGGCGCCCTCTCGGCACACTTTTGATGTGTGACCAGTGCCAGGCCTGGGGTCTGGGCTGTCCTCGGGGCCGGAAAACCTCTCCTCAGAGATTTCAGCACTGTCCTCAGCTCCGAGCCCATGGCCGGAGGAAGCGGGGCTAGATGTTTGCAGAACTAGGTGCCAGGCAGCCAGGGAGGGGGGTGGTCTGATGTCTGGTCCAAGGCCACCCAGCAAGGCTCTCCTGGAGGGGTTCTCCAGGTCCCAGTGCCAGGCTTGGGGACCCGGGCTGCCAGCTTCTCCCTGCTCTGTGCTCTCGTGGCGGAGCCACGGTCAGCGTGAGCAGAACTAGCTCCCGAGCCGCCAGTCCTAACACCCCCTTGCCCGGGCCACGTCCGTGTGAAGGACAGGCCCGCTGGGCCCTTGCTGACTTGCGGGTGAGGGAGCAGAGGTACCACGCGCAGGATGTTCCTGAGCCCTCTGCCAGGGCTCCCCAGCCTCATGCCAAGTGGCACATTTGGCGTTGACTGTGGCCGGTTCCGGGTTGACACGGGCCCAATGCAGCAGGGCTTACAACCAACTCAAACAGCAGAGGCCGAGGTGATAAACAGGACATTCAAGCTCAAAGCCTCTCCTGCCCCGCCAGCTGGCCTTAGTGTCACGGGGGTGGGAGGACCTTCCCTGGGGACCCAAACACCCAGCTCCTATTTGTGTAAGGCCTGGCCAAGCGATCCCCTTTCTCTGGGCTTCAGTTTCCTCCACAGGTGAGGGGGCTCTCCAAGCCTCCTTCAGGGGGTTGTTGTGAGGACTGCCTGGCGAAAGCGCCCCTACAGCTCAAGCCCAGCGCCAGGCACACAGCAGCTGGGGGCTCTTCCCTGCACCTGCTGGGCACGGGGCAGCATGGCCACCTTCCCCAGGAGGCCACGCCTGGGGCAGCCACTCTCAGTTGGCCAGCTCCCAGACTTGGGGTAACTACCTCCCAGCCCTGCCCCTTCCTGTCCGCAGCGTGGCTTCCAGCAAGTGGCCCTTCCCTTGTGAGCCCCACGCTCCTCATCTGAAAGACAGGGCAGTAACAGGCTCTGCGGGGTTGCTGAGGGGCTGAACCAAGATGAAGCAGAAGCAGCTGGTACAGAGTAGGTGCCAAATAAATGGCAGTTGTTATTCGCAATAGTCCGCTCTTATGGGTCTCAGCTTCGGCAGGATGGGTCAGGCTACACTGTAGAGTGCGGTGCCCCTGAGTGTAAGGTTGTAAGGGTCATGTCCAGGCTGAGCTGGGGCTCCGGAGGTTGCGGTAGGGTCACAGCTCATAGGATTCAAGGCACAGGGCACCTTTGGGTCCTTCAGTCCATTGGTTTCCATTTGTGTGCCGGGACACAGACCACCCCTGGGGCTCCCAGAGACCTGGCCCAAATTAGCTGGGGGCGGGACTCAAGTGCCTGTATGGTATACGTGCTTCCTAAGTCATTTTGTTTAATCTTTTTTGTAAGGCTACTGCCCAAAGTCGAAAATTCCAACAAAACTGAAAGATATACAATAAAAAAGGAAGAGAAGCAGGGCCCAAGGTCACTGTGCAGCCTTGGACGAGACCTTCTCCTTTTATGGGCCACAGGCTCCCCAGACTTCCCAGCAAGGAGGTTAAACTGATGCACTCTAAGCTCTCTCTGGCTTCGGGCTCTGCAGTGTTTCCGGTGTAGCATGTGACCCTCTAGCAGCCATCAGAAGGGAGGAGGCCAATGTGAGCCTATGAATGCCCGAGTCGGGACTGCTGTGGGTATGAGTGGCAGGAGTTCCACTCACATGGGCTTAAGCAAAAAAAGAGGGAAGAAGAAATTTATTTGCACCGAAAAGTCCTGGGCTATAAATGACTTCAGGCACAGTTGGATCTAGGCGCTCAAATGATATATTTTCTCATTTTCTTAGTATTGGCTTCATTCTCCAGTAGGTTTTGCCAGATAATTGTATCTAAAGGCTTTAAAGAACAAAACAGACCCAGGCAACCTGTGGAGACCCAAATCCCCCTTTGTGGGGAGTGAGCTCTTTCATTCAGAACAGAGGTAACATGATCTCTGCGGTTCTGTAAGAAGTTCTCATTGCAGGCAGGGATACGTATCGTGTTCTTCATAGGAGTCTAGCTTGTGCCATCTTGTTCATACACACATGTGGTGTATGTGTGAGCATACGTGTGTATATGTGCTTGTTCAAGAATTCCACACCACTGTCGAGAGTGGGATCTGGAGAGCCTCAGGAAGAAGGGGGCCTGGTTACTCCCCACTTTGGTAGATTTAGCCCAGTGTACACCAGACTTGGGGGGTCCCTCAAATGCTTCAGCAAAAGGGGGCCCTTGAGGCTGTGGCGAGGTCCTGTCCTCATGTGAGCCGGGCCAGTGAAGCAGCAGAGGAGGTAATATGGCTCCTTAGGCAGCAAGAACGCTGTCACCACCATATAAGGGCCACCCACACCCAGCAGAATCCCAGGAGACCGTACAGAGGAGTAAGGATTTATGAACACCCTCCTCCAAACCTGTGAGTGGTGGTCTTTCCCCCCGAAGGCAGGGGAAAGAAGATCTGGTGATCTTCAGAATGTTTTGGGGGCAAGAGGCAGAAGGATGGGGCCACTTGAATTAGCTAATATTTTGAATATAGGATATTAAGAGATAGATTATATTAGAAGGAGCATCAAACCGATGAGCAATGCAGGGTCATGACATGGTGCCCATTTGTTTGTTCATACTTTTATTCAGCGAATATATATTTATTGTACCGTACTAGGCCCAGGTTTTTTACTGGGGGCTGGAGAGTGAACAGTAAAGTCAGTTGTAGTCCCTCCCCGAGGGGCTCACAGCCTGGTGAGAAAAGCAGACAAGTCATCACTAACTGGCACCTAGAACCCTGATCAGAGGACCAAGACAGCAGGATGGTGTGGTGGGAGCCCCTAACCTCGACTCTGGGAAGGGAAGGGGTCCAGGGTGGGATTTACAGAGGGCATGATATCTTACTGAAGCTGGAGAGTCGATAGGAAATGACTTAGGTAAAATTGCAAAGACAAGGAAAGATGTTCCAGGCAGAGGAGCCAACATGTGCAAAGGACTTTTGTGTAAAGAGCACAGACTTGGAGCTAAGTGTGACTTTTCAAATTTCAGCTCCTCCACTCACTGGCTGTGTGTGACCTGAGTTGTCCATCTATAAAACAGAAGCAAACCACATTTATCTTAAAGGAATGTGAAGTGTAAGAGAGACAGGTGCTTATTGAAGATTCCTTTTCCCTCTGGGTGATTCTCTCTTCGTCCTATGACTGTCCAGGTGTCAAGACAAGATGCTTCAGCTTTGGAAACTTGTTCTCTTATGCGGTCTGCTCACCGGGACCTCAGCGTCTCTTTTTGGAAATCTTGGCGACGACCTTTATAATATTGTGAACAAGCTGAAACCTGCTGTTGAGAAAGGACTTGAGACCATTGACAATACACTTGAATGTGAGTCAACAAGTGATGATCAGTGGCACCTAGGACCTTGCCTCCTGAATGCTATGTCTGCATTACCAGAGGCTGCCACCAGGGGCTGCTCTTTATGGGTGGTTTACTGAGAAAGGTGGCTGTTCAGTTTCTGGTTCGTTCACTTATTTTTCAGGGAACAAGCAATGCTCAAACGAATATCCTCTTATACATTATATCATGGCACATTTTTTCCTAATATCTGCAGAGGATAAAATCCTAAAACTGAGATTTCAAAAGTTCAAAAGGTATGCACATTTTCAATTATAGGAGATGTTGACAAATAATTCCCTACATTAACATTCTCTCCAAAAGTCTTGGGAGAGTGTCTTTTTTCTGCTCTCTTGATAGCACTGCTATGGGCAACTTAAAAGCTTTGCTAATCTCATAGATAAAAGATTATAACTCATTTCACTTTGCATTTCTCTAATTATGAAAGAATTCACTCGTTTTTTCATATTTTATTAGCTATTTATATATTTTAGCATAAATATTTTGATCATATTCATAGCACATTCTTCTGCTAGGTTGTTCAATTTTCTTATTGATATGTATTAATTCATTGGAAATTAAGGAAATTAGCTATACCTAAGCCTAGGTAGCTTTAAAGCTACCTAGCTTTATATTTAATCATGTCTCTTTTTCATTCTGATTTCTTAAAAGAATTTGGCTTTCTTTTCATTTTCTTGAAACATTATAGGAGGAAGTAAGTGCTATAATGCTAAATGCTATAAATGGCTACCTTTCAAACCTTGTTAGGGTTTAGAGCTTCAAAGGTATAGAAGGGACCCACTCTCTAATTTCACTGCTGAGAAAACTGAGTTCAGAAACAGAAGTGTCTGGATCAAGGTCACCTAATGAGTTATAGGACCAAAAATACTTTTATTGAAATTGGTAGTCTCTGTTTCTTATATCATTATAACTAGGTAGATACCATTGATTGTAGAGCCAAGTTGCAGAACCATAGTTACATTTCTTCTCTTGTACAGCCTTTGTTTTTCCTTGAGTTAATAATTGCCTTGTTTTTCACTTGAATTATTTTCTATACACATATCCTTAATTCTTTGCATACGCACTGTTCTATATCTGCCATGTCTATCTAATCCCTCTTTTCTCTGGAGCCCTTCCATTAAGACACTTCGTTTTCATACTCCTGTATGAATTATTGCTCTCAGGGCCTGCTGCAAAGCTGTCATCCTGGGACTCCCATTTGCCACTTTTATGAGTTGGAACCATACTTTTTGCTTGATTCTAGATTTTCTATTTCTTATTCTCTCATTTTGTTTGACCTAGTTCTTCAAACTTGCGTGAACATCTCATTTAGAGCAATAGACAACCCCCTCAAGTCACTACTAGAAGCTGGTGTACAAGCAATATGAATTGCCTGGTTAATTGATTGATTGCTTTGTTTATGAACGATGAGTATATATTAGTATGAAGGCAGCATGGAAGGAACAAAGGCTCCCCAGCCGCATGACTTTAGGCACATTTCTTAACCTTTTGATCTTTTATTTCCTCATCTGAAAATGCAGATAATAACAATATCTGCCTCATTTGGGTTGTTATGAAGAGTAAATGAAATAACATAGGCAAATAGTCTTACCGAGTGTCTGGTACATGGTCACTGTTCCATAAGTGATGGACAACACTAAATGGCAATTGTTTTTGTCAGCTGTCGTTCAGAAACTGACCGCCAACTTGGGGAAGCTTCAGAAATCCAAGGCTTGGCTCCTGGCCTAGGAGAAGGTGCAGGAAATGAGTAACTTGGTGAACGATGCTCTTTCTAAGATCACTTCAGCTAAGGATGAGACTTTGGGGTGAGTTGACGCTTCTAGGTGGAGATCTTTGCTCCAAGAAAAGGGAAAACACATCTTTGGGGAGGTGAATTTAAGGTCAAAGTCAAAAAGTTTGATAAACCTTATTCCTTCCCACAGAGTCAAGGTGGTCTGAGGCCAGGTTCATCAGAGCTTGAGCAAATTAGACGCAGGGGAGAAAGGGGAACCCTCCTACACTGTTGGTGGGAATGCAAGCTGGTGCAGCCACTCTGGAAAACTGTGTGGAGGTTCCTCAAAAAGTTGAAAATAGAGCTACCATATGATCCAGCAATTCCACTACTGGGTATTTACCCCAAAGATACAAAAGTAGGGATCCGAAGGGGTACGTGCACCCCGATGTTTATAGCAGCAATGTCCACAATAGCCAAACTGTGGAAAGAGCCAAGATGTCCATCGACAGATGAATGGATAAAGAAGATGTGGTATATATATACAATGGAATATTATGCAGCCATCAAAAGGAATGAGACCTTGCCATTTGCAACGACGTGGATGGAACTGGAGGGTATTATGTTGAGTGAAATAAGTCAAACAGAGAAAGACATGTATCATATGATCTCACTGATATGAGGAATTCTTAATTGTAGGAAACAAACTGAGGGTTGCTGGAGTGGGGGGTGGGGTGGGAGGGATGGGGTGACTGGGTGATAGACACTGGGGAGGGTATGTGCTCTGGTAAGCGCTGTGAATTGTGCAAGACTGTTGAATCTCAGATCTGTACCTCTGAAACAAATAATGCAATATATGTTAAGAAAAAAAAAAAGAAGAAGAAGAAGGTAGCGGGAGGGGAAGAATGAAGCGGGGGAAATCGGAGGGGTAGACAAACCATGAGAGACGATGGACTCTGAAAAACAAACAGGGTTCTAGAGGGGAGGGGGGTGGGAGGATGGGTTAGCCTGGTGGTGGGTATTGAGGAGGGCACATTCTGCATGGAGCACTGGGTGTTATGCACAAACAATGAATCATGGAACACTTCATCTAAAACTAATGATGTAATGTATGGGGATTAACATAAGAATAAAAAAAAAGCAGCATGGAAATGGTTGCTGCAGCAGGAGATGAAATAGGAGTTGATATACAACAGTGCTACTCAAGAAATTTTATAGTTTTTGTATTTTTTTTTGTTTTGGTAGGTGTCCCTTTATCAAGCTAACAGCTCTTTTTTTTTAAATTTTTGTCAGTTTTATTGAAGTAAAAGAAACAAAATAAACTTCACCAATTTTAAGTGTGCAAAAAAAAAAAATTAGACGCAGGGCTGCAGGGCCAATCTGGGCATCTCATGGGTTTGGGCTTCCATATTATGTAATTTTAGGATCAGGGTAAAGAGCCTCTTAATCCTTACCTCCACCTGTTTGCTGGTGCCTGAGGTCCCTTTTCCAAGGAGTAAGTCTTTCTTCTCCAAATATAGCTGAGGATAAAAGTCTGAATCCCCTCAGGATAGAGAAGACGAGTTCATACCACACAGCTGGCTCCACATGAGGAGGTTTGGAATCAAAGGGTTCTGGGTTCAGATTCTGACTCTGGCACTTATTTCTCCCTGGAATCTCTGTGGGAAATTACATCTGACTGAGCCTCCGTATGCCAGGCCATAACATGGAGAGGATAAAACCTCTGCACGGGGGTACTGTGAAGGCCAAAGAAGGCAAGGCTGGTGAGGCCCAAATGCTCAGCCTGATGCTGGTGTAGAGAATGTCAGCCCATGGCTGGCATGGGGAATGACAAAGGGAAACTGTGGGTTTTGCACAGGTTGAACATCATTAACTACCGCATCCTGAAAATCAAAGTTGAACTGACTCCTGATGGTGAAGTCATTAACATAAGAGTCCCCATCGTCGCTAATGTCACCCTGGCCCTGTGAGTAGGCATTAGAATCTGGGATTTGGGAGAGGCTGTGCACCATGGCCAATGGATCTCCAAAGCAGAATCGGGCTCTTTCCCATGCTACCGTGTGGCCTTGGGCCTCAGTCTCCCAATCTGTACATGAAGGGGGCTTTCCAGCTCTAAAATCTGAAGTTTAAAATGTTCTAATGAACTTTGGCCATAATCAAGTCTCTTTGGAAAGAATCCTCCATGAAGTGTTTCTGAAATCGTAACATTTATCTAATTGTAAAATTTGAAAACCTGAGAAGACATGAGCGTTTATAACTCTGGCAAAATTTCCTCCAGCATTATTTCGTCTCTTGAGATTCTCTTTAAATAGCAGTGACCATTATAGCTAAACACAGATAGTAGTACACAGTATATAATGAAGGGCATGTGTGAAAAACGTAATTTTAAAGTATTTTAATTACTTTAAAAGAGATAGAGAGATAGGAAAATGAGCATGTGTGGAAGAAGATAAATTGAGGACACGGGGATTCCATCATTCATTAGCTACGAGATCTTGGGATGGTTACTTAACCTCTCTATACCAATGTTTCCCCATTTTGAAAATAAAGATAACAATAATGGGGCGCCTGGGTGGCTCAGTTGGTTAAGCGACTGCCTTCGGCTCAGGTCATGATCCTGGAGTCCCTGGATCGAGTCCCGCATCGGGCTCCCTGCTCGGCGGGGAGTCTGCTTCTCCCTCTGACCCTCCCCCTTCTCATGTGCTCATTCTCTCTCTCAAATAAATAAATAAAATCTTAAAAAAAAAAAAGATAACAATAGTACTTCTACCTCATGGTATTGCTATAATGATGACATGGATTAATCCAGGAAAAGTGGTTTTTTTTTCAAAGATTTATGTGTTTTAGAGAGACAGAGAGAAGGGAGTGGAAGGATCAGAAGGAGAGGGAGAGAGAATCTCAAGCAGAGTCCCCGGAGGGAGAGAGAATCTCAAGCAGAGTCCCCGCTGAGTGGGGAGCCCCACATGGGGCTCAATCTCAGGATTCTGAGATCATGACCTGAGCCGAAATCAAGAGTCGAACGCTTAACCCACTGAGCCACCCAGGTGTCCCGAAAAAAATGCTTTTTAGAAATGCCTAACGTATAATTTGCCCTCAATAAATGTCAACTATTATTATTACTTTCATTATTAGGGTGGTGCTCTATAAAACTGTCATACGAACCAAATCCGTGTGGCCAGGCGAAGAAGCCCTTAACGTACATGTTAATTAGGAATCCAGAAGATGCTGACATTATCCATAGACAAGCTGGAGAGTTAAAGATCCACACAGGCGGAGGAACCCTAGTGGGCCTTCTAGACCTCTGTTCACTGGGAATCTTATTTCCTACAGGCCTGTCATTGGCCAGGTGGTCAACCTGAAGGCCTCTTTGGACCTCCTGACTGATGTCAGAGTTGCAACCGATGCCCAGACTGTGCCCCCGGAGTGATCATAGGAAAATGCAGCGGTGATCCAGACAGCATCTCACTCACCGTGCCGGACAGGTAAGGCTGGTCTGTCTCAGCAGAGCCGGGCTCTCAGAGGAGTCGGGGATCCCCTGGCTTCAGCCCTATTCCTGTCCTGAGGGGCACAATGTGGCAAAAGAGCGTAGCTTTGGAGTTAGACAGACCTTGGTTCAAATAGCAGCTACCGACTTAGAACTTTGTGACCAACCTAGCCCCTCTGAGCCTCAGTTTTCCCATCTGTAACCTGAAGGTGACAATAATGTCTCCTCACCGGCTGTTGAGCCGACCATCTGGGAAAATACGAGTGTTTAGCACAGAGCCTGGCACACACTCAGGGCTCGGTGAGAATAACATCCATGCTGACTTTGACTTCCTGTTCTCTCCATTCCTGAGACAGGAGTGTTGGCCTCTGATCACCGGGCCGCTCTGTCAGTTCTGCTTCCTGCTTTCTGAAGCGCTGGTGTTAGGTGTAGCACATTTAGGATTGTTACTGCTTCTTGAAAAATTGACCCCTTTATCATTATATTATATCCCTCAATAACCGTAATAAAAATAATAAATTGTATTTTTCTTCTTGCCTCCATGTGGGAGGAGGAGGAGAAGTAAATGCTTACCATGAGCTCTAATTTCAAATTGTCCCTAGAGAGTCCTCAATTCACTGGAAAATTCCCGAAACGAGATATTGCAAATTGAATCCTCTCCATTTAAATCACTGATCCCTGTCAATCCACAAAAAATCTACTTCTTAAACAATGTGCTTGCAAGGGCAGGTCTGGTGGAGGAAGAGGGTGAGGGGAGGAGGGGTGACCCTGGAGGCGGCTGTTGGAGGAGAATGGTCTAGAAGTCGAAGGCCCGGGGCAGGTTGGCTTTGGGGGAAACAAGGTTGGGTTCTCGGCTCTCAGCCCTGAGGGCCATGAGCAGAGGTCACTCCACCCTACTCCCTCAAGGGATTTGATCACAGCTTGCCAAACCAAAGAAAGGCTCTACTGCCCGATGTTACTGGGGAAGGCTGGAATATAAATGGACGGGCCTGAGCCCTGCTGGATACTGCCTTGTCGGCAGCCCCATGAAATTCATCCTGCTGCTCTGGGTCTCAGTGTCCACATCTGTGAAATGGCCTTCCACTCTGGTGCCTAAGCCCTCTCAGCCCAAGCACTCCCCACTGCTGCCTGGGCTCAGCGGGATCTGGCCCCACCCTCCTATCACCGCACTCTTGTCCTCGCTCACTCTGCTGCAGACACCCTGGCCTTTGCTCTGGGCCTCAAACAAGTTCTTCCCCACCTCCAGACCTGTGCACACGCTCTTCCGGCCTCCTAGAACACCGTTCCCCTCACCTCCACGTACTTCTCAACCTTCAGGTTTTAAAAAAGCTTCATCCTATTCTCCCTCAAAATCGTCTACTCTTGGCCTTCAAAGTACTTGTCACAAGCTGTCATTTTATTTTATTTTTTCAAAGATTTTATTTGAGAGAGAGAGAGAATGAGTGGGGGTGGGAGGGGCAGAGGGAAAGGGAGAAGCAGGCTCCCCTCTGAGCTCGATCCCAGGACCTTGGGATCACGACCTGAGCCAAAGGCAGACACTTACCTGACCGAGCCACCCAGGCGCCCCATCATCCTATATTTAATTCTATGTTTACTTCAGTCCTTCTTTCAGCCAATAATGTTTGAGCACCTGCTATGTTCCAAATAGGCTCTGAGCTCTGGAGAATTTATTGGTGACAACTGACCAGGACCCTATTTTCCTGGAGTTTATTGTCCTGAGGGAAGGGCAGACAGACAAGTATCCAGGCCATCAGTAAAGAGCCCTCAAGGAAAATGTCAGCTTATGAGGAGCCCTAAGCAGAGCAGTGCATGTAACAGGACTATATGATATAAAGCCCTCCCTTAGGCAAGCAGTCAGGGAGGGCTGCCCTGAGGAGGTGTCAGTCATGCTGAGAGCTGAAGGTGGGAAGGAGCCAGCCTTTGGCAAGACCTGTGTCACGTTTAGGTACCAGGTGAGGAGCTGCTTGCGCTTTGCCCTTCCCCGGGTCCTCAGCGTAATCAATGCCTGGCATGCGGGTGGTGATCTGTAGATAGGTGTCGAATGAAAGAGTGGGATCTTAAGGTTGTGATGAGACTCTCACAGGTTGAGGTGAGCCTCTGGTCAGAAGTGGGGCACCCCTGAATAGAGGCTCTGTCTGTGGTTAGAAAGGCATTGCGGTGTCCCCGGGTTTACCTGATTTCAAGGTGCTCCGCCACCTCCCACCCCCCCAGCCCCCGCTGCGTGGCCGTTCTGCCCACGAACTAGGCTTTATCCACTCTTTTCCAGCCACAATACTCTGATGGAGAAGGCCATGAACACCGTGAGCAACTTCCTGACAAAGACCGTGTCCCGCCTGGTAGAGAAGGATATGAGTCCTCCACTTCTCGGGGCCCAGAGCCATGCCTGCGGGGGAGGGGAGGCAGGTGTGCCATTCACAACCGAACTGTACTCTCTGGGCGCCTTTTCTTCTGAGGTGCAAACTCCTCATCGGGCTGTCAGCTGGAACCTGTGCCCCTTTACTCAGCCTGGGGAGAGGGAGGGCAGAGCAGGGGCCTGACATTAGCTGAAATCACTGGGTCCCAAACTTGGGCCATTCCCCGTGTCTACCTACCCCGGATATGCCTTTTTAGCTAGTGTGTTCCTCCTTTAAACAATACAATTCTACATAAGCTTCTTTAAATCATGTATTTTAAAGATTTTATTTATTTATTTGACAGAGAGACAGAGCGAGAGAGGGAACACAAGCAGGGGGAGTGGGAGAGGGAGAAGCAGGCTTCCTGCCGAGGAGGGAGTCTGATGCGGGGCTTGATCCTGGGACCCCGGGATCATGACCTGAGCCGAAGGCAGATGCTTAACGACGGAGCCACCCAGGCGCCCCTAAATACATGTATTTTAAAAAGAAAACTGTATTGGGGCACCTGGGTGGCTCCGTCGTTAAGCGTCTGCCCTCGGCTCAGGTCATGATCCCAGGGTCCTGGGATCGAGCTCCGCATCGGGCTCCCTGCTCCGCGGGAAGCCTGCTTCTTCCTCTCCCACTCCCCCTGCTTGTGTTCCCTGTCTCACTGTGTCTCTCTCTGTCAAATAAATAAAATAAAATCTTCAAAAAAAAAAAACTGTATCTCTACCATAATTTAGAAATGAATATCATTTATACAATTAATTTAAAACATAAACACAGACCTGTAAAATTGGTATTTTCATCTATGCATCATACAAAACCATTTTTACTCGATCCAGAGAGTCTGAATCAGTCATTCTGGAAGGGGGCTGGGAATCCGGGGTTAGGAAAGAAAAATCCTTCAGGTGACTGGAGCCTCACGACTCAGAATATGGTCCTCTGCCCAGCAGCCCTGGGGCCTCACCTGGGAGCTGGTTAGAAATGCGACCTCTCAGTCTGCCCACCCCGCCCCCTGCAGCCCCCCAGACCTGCTGAATCAGAATGTGCATTTTAAAGTGATCCTCAGGGAATTGTACACACACACAGTGAGAAACTCTCTGCTCTACGGTTCCCAGGGCCCCATTTGATTGCTTAAAATTCCGGGGTTCCAAAGTTCAAGGTTTCTAAGAGTGTAAGGTTCTGGGATGTTAACACTCTAGATTCTCAAGTTTCTAGGATTCCAATATTCTAAGGATTTAGAATTCTAGCATCCTATGGCTCTCCAGTTTTGGACTTCTAGGTTTCTATTGTTCTAGAATCCTAAGGGTCAAAGGTTGTGGGATCTTGGTGGGTGGCTGGCAGTTTGGCCCCAGCTGATAATGATCTGCCCTCCTTCCTGGTCCTGGCCCTCCTCTCCTCTCCCTCCCTCCCTCCCTCCCTCCCTCTCTCTTTCTCACTCTTTCACTCCCCCACAGGTGTGCCCACTGATCCACACCTTACTTTCCACTCTGGATGTGCATATTGTTCAAGACATTATTGGTAAGTCACAGCCTGGGGACCGGGGGTGCTTTCCCTCTGCAGCCTTCCAAGGGCAGGCATGCACCCTGTGCCCACCCCACAGCAGGTGTGGTCAGGGGACCCTGGAGAAGCAGGAAGACCCAGCATCTGAGCAAGTTGGGAGAATGTGACAGGACTGAGGGCGTTCTGTGGGCCTCTGTGAGCTCTCTACCATCCTCCCTCTTTAAATCCACAGAATCTGCCTGGCAGAACGATGTGAGAAAGAAGATGGGCCAGATCTGGGTTCAAATCCTGGCTCTGCTATTTAGCAACTGTGGGGCCTTATTCAAGTGGCTCTGCCTGTCTGAGCCTCAGTTTCCTCCTGGCTGAACCAAGACTGTAAACATTGGAGGGTGATGAGTGGATTAAAAGAAGAAGCATAGAGCCTAATATCCAGTAGGCATTACTAGTAAACACCTGCCCTTCTCTTTCCCTCTTTATGAGAAACTGTGGCTTCTCCTCCAGCTGTAGGGGGGGCTTTCTTTGGCCTTTGGGTCTCTAGGCAAGGCTGGGGTTGCTGGGGATGCTGGAGCAATAGAAGTGGGGTAAGTGTCAGGGTCCTGGAGGTGGCCCTTCTATGGAAATAGCCACTGATCAGTTCCTCGGGCAATCACCCTGTGCTTTGCATATGCCATCCCATTGGATCCTCAACAACAACTCTGTGGGGTGGGTACCATCATTATACCCATTTTACAGATGAACAAATTGAGGCTCAAAGAGGTGGACTGACATGCCTGAGGTTCCACGGCTGTCAGACTGACCCACTGGAAAGTGGCGGCCATCAGGGTCTGGTTTCTATTGGAGACTGAGGCCTGCTATTTATTTTTTTATTATTCAGATAAATTTCAAAAGGAAAACTAGCTGCTTAACGATGTCTGAGGAGGGAGATGAGGAGGACTGTGGGTGATGTCCACCTGAAGGTAAGGGGTGGTGTGTACCCCACACAGAGGATGAGTCTCCTCCACAGGCACCTGTGGTGAAGCCAAAGCAAGGCTCAGCTTCTCTTCTTTTTTTAGCAGCGGGCTGAGCCCTAATCTTGGTTGTAGACTGAGCTGTGACCCTGGCCCCAGCCTGAGCCCTGATCCTGGTCACATTCTGCACCCTGAGCCTTTTTCGCACACCCAGACTGAGCCTGGATCCTGATCACAGACTGAGCTTTGACTTCAGTGATTTACTGAGCAATGACATCAGTCACAGACTGAGCCCTGACCTTGATCTCAGACTGATCCATGATCCTGATCCTATACTGAGCCCTGAACCCTGGCTCCAGTCTTGGCATCTGATCAGTCTTTTCACATCTGCCATTGTTCCTAAGGTGAGGGGAGAGGAGAGTAAGGGGCAGAGGATAAGTCAGGGCCAGGTGCCAGAGACAAACCCCAAACCGCAGGTGCCAGCCCCCTCTTCAAGGCCTTAGACCCTGCAGGGGATTGTAGGGAAGAGTTTGGGCAGCAGTGTCTGATGGCTGTGGTCTCGTTCCAGATCGGTGCCCAGTGTCCCTTGTAGCATCTCCATCTGGGAAAGGTGCAGCCACGCCCCAAGCAGAGTGACAGCCTGAGCGCAGCCAGAAGGGGCCCTCCCAGAGACTCCTCCTCGCAGTCGGGACAGCAGCCTCTGTGCTCACCACCCTCCACCCCCTGCAATTAAAGACCACTTCGGCATCCTCTTGTGTGGCCCATTTTATTCCCCCCATTGGGATTGGGGGAGGGCAACTAGGTGGTAGAGACCTGGGTGGGAGCTGGAAGGGACCTCTGGGATGATCCAGCTTGTTTTACAAATTGGAACACTGACACACACAGAGGGCAAGAGACTGACCCAGGGTCACACAGCCAGTTGGTGGCAGTGGCAGGCTCTTAATTCATCCATTCACATGCTCAGCAGGCGTTCAGTGAGGGTCTACTCTGGGCCAGGCGGGCAGTAGGAATGGACAGTCACATTTTGGGCAACCCCACCCAGGGCTTTCCTCCCTTCCCCTCAGGGAGTCCCCAGGGACTCTGAGAGGCCTTATGGAGGATGGGGGCACCGGGTCTGTGGGCTCAGGAGTATAGGGCAGAGTGACATAGGGTCAGGGGCCTAGGCCACTTCCCAGCCTGCCCCTCTGTGCCCTCTGAAGGGCTAGGGTTCCCCTGCAACAGAGATCAGTTCAAGCAGCACCTGAGGACACCCATGGTCTCGCGACACCAGGGCTCACCCACCCAGCCCTGAGAGCCTGTGGGCCCACCGGCCAGGCTGCACGAGGGCCCTGCCTGCCTGGTAGAGCCAAGCACCTTGAGGGTGCTCAACCATCCCATGGAGACCAGCTCCTCTCCGGCCTGCCCAGGCTGTGCCTGGCCGTGGTCCAGACAGCATCACTCTGCTGAGGCCACCACCACCACCATCACGGAGCGCTGCCCTTGCCGGCGTGTAGGACCTCACCAATTCCTAACAACGCCAGGAGACACTATTCTTGTCCCCATTTAACAGATGAGGAAACTAAGGCTCACAGAGGCAAAGTGACTCATCAAGGTCACACAGTGAGCAAGAGGCAGAGCCAGGATTTGAACACATGACTATGAGAGCCTTTGCTCAGAGAGCTGACATCCAGTAGCCGAGGCACCTTGGCTGCCTCCCCGGCCCCCGGCAGGCGCTGCTTTCTTCTGCCCAGGACATACGAGAGCCTCTCAAGGCTGTTGTTCCTGCCCACATGCAGGCCCCAGTCTCCCCTTTGCCTGCAGGTAGGAGGCTGCCCCCCCTTCCACAAGGGCCTTCCTTCTGAAGAAGGCTGCCTCACGGGGTCAAGTCACCTCAGAGGTCCCTCGAGCCCTTGGGGTGACCTGGAGGGGCCGCAGACCAGCTCTCCCGAGCAATCCTGTGAAGACCTCAGTTCAGGGTGTGCCGAGGGGCTTCTGGGCACAGGGTGAGAGCCAGGGGCTTAGGCACCTCTGAGCTCCACACGGCCCCTGCTGCTCTCTAGCCCTGAAACCTTGGGCAAGTTACTTAGCCTCTGGAGATCCCAGTTTTCTTACCCGTCAAATGGAATTAGCAGAAAAAACCTCGCTCGCTGAGCTGTTGTGAGGGTGGAAAGTGTCTTAACTGGGGCCTGACAGCTAGTGAGCCCAGATGAGTGTCCCCTCTACATGCTGAAATTGCTGTTATGACCGCCCTGTGATTGTTGATTGACTGATGAAAGCCCTTATGTCGTCTAGAGAATCATGGTCCTGGGAGATCTTGGGTTTTTACCCTGTCTTTATGGCCAGACTGCCAACGGTCCCCCCAGGGATCATTCTTCTCTCTCTCCCCAGGTTTTAGCTGGGCACATGGCCCCTAGCCAGGGACTACATTTCCCAGCTTCCCTTGCAGTAGCCATGTGACTAAGATCTGGCCAATGGCATATCAGCAGAAGTAATGCGGCAAATTCCACTTTGTGCTTTGAAAGAAAGGGGCACTTCACTGGCTCTGAAACTCTTGATTTCAGGGTCATGAGTTCAAGCCCCATGATGAGCATCGCGCTGCCTTAAAAACAGACAAAGGGGGCATTCCCTCCCCTTCCTCCTGACCTTCTCTTCTCTTCCGTTAGAAATGGGAATAAGTGGAGTAACTCCCTGAGATCTAGAGGTGGGGCCCTGCATTGAAGACAGCAGAGCTGCTTCAGCAGCCCCTGACCACCCATCTCTGGGCCCTGTGGCAGTAAAGCAATGAGCGAGCTTATTTAAACCATTGTGTTTGGGGGTCCCCTCGTCAAGGCTACTTTGTCTCTATTCTACCTCATTCTGCCAGTAACATGCTGTGTGACATTAGGCTGCTAACTTCTCCTCTCTCAGCCCTGTTTCTCTATTTGCACAGTGATCACTAAAGGCCCTTCCTGTTCCAACAGGACAAGAGTTAGTGCTCCCTCCAGACTGGGAGGGGAAAGAAAATAAACATTTGTTGAGCCCCTACTCCATACCAGGCACTGTATTAGCCTGGTAGTTCTCAACCTAAGGTGACTTTGCCCCCCACAGGACATTGGCAATGTCTGAAGATATTTTGTCACAGACTGGGTGAGAGATGCTACTGGCATCTCATGGGTAGAGGCTAGGGATGCTGCTAACCATCCTACAATACACAGGACAGCCTCTCACAACAAAGAAGCATCCAGGCCAAAATGTCAAGAGTGTTGAGAAACCCTGTATTAAAACTTTACATACATTATCTCATTGAATTGTTTTTTTTCTGAGTGATGCAGTGTATGGTTCTTGGGGGAAGATGTAGCAACTGAGGCTCAGAGGGGTGAAGTGACTTGCCCAAGGCCACACAGCTGGTCAGAGGCAAAGCTGGATTTAATCCAAAGTCATCCTCCTCTAGAGTTGGTGCTTCCCTTCCAGCCAGGGAAGAAGGGTGAGTTTTCCTTCCTCACTATTTTGTGACAAACCCACCTCCCACAAAAAATACACAAAGGAGGTCTCAAAATTCAGGGCTTCTTTGGGCAGTAACCAACTTGAGTCCGTGCCAAGCCTTTGTCCATGCTGTTAGGTCTACTAGGGACATGGCTTTCTCCTTCTCCAGCTGGCTAACTCCTGCTCAGCCTTAAAACTTTACTCAGGAGTCAACCTCCAGCTAAGTGAGGGCTGTTCCTCCTTGTTTCCCAAAAAAGATACTGTGCTTCCCAACATGTAGGTCTAACCAGGCTACCTTGCCATTCCTGTCCAATATGGAGAGAGCATTTAGAAAGTGTCAACTCTGGCTAGTCTGGTTCTCACCTTTTTTATTCATCAGTCTGCCCCTTAAGCCTGCGAGCTCCTTGAGGGCAGGTACCTCCCTCTCCTCAGCAGATCCAGTGCCCAGAGAAGGACCAGATATAGTACAAGTACTAACAAATGTCGAATGAATGAATGAATGAACGAATGAATGAACAAACCTTTCTGTACACAATCAGACACCATCTCTGGGGCACCTGAGTGAGTAAGTATACAGGAAAATTCTAGCAAGCCAGGATTGGGGGTATAGGAGACTTGTCATTATTTTCTGTCAACCAAGGCCAGATCCCTGGCCCTTGAGGACATAAGCGCTATGGACCAAATGTGGGGCTCCTAGGTGAGTGAAGCCAGAACATGGGGTGGGGGAGGTGGGGGGCTAAGGCCCCTCAGCCCCACTGGTGACTAATGTTGCCACTGGAGGGGAAAGATTACAGGGTAGACAAATGAGGCAGCATTCTCCTGCCGGCAGCCTGGCACCCTGGGACCAACTCTGGCTCCTGGCTCCTGGCCTACTCGGCCCAGACCTCAAGGAGGGGTGAGGGCTTCCTGGAGATGGTGATGCCCCATGAAGGAGGCTTCAGGGAGCAGGAGAGAGAACAGCTGTCATCAGGGAATATATGGGAAGAAAGAAGGCAAAACCTGACTGGATCCTGAATCCTCCAGAAACTAGAGTGCAAAACTGTAGTGCAGGCTACAATTTTGAAGGCTTAATCCAGTTAAATAAATGCTGGATCTTTCCAATGTTTGCATGATTTCTTGAGGATAACATCTCAGGATCAGAATTATTTATTTTATGTGTTGGAATATCTTATGACCCCAGGAACACATCACAGAATTTACCAATCCGGATCTTTCTATTTACACTGTGATGAGAGAGTATATACATTTCACCATATATTTGCCAGCAGATGGACACTTTTATTTTAAATACTTGCTCTTTGAATGGGAGTAGAATAAACTTCATCACACCAGAAAAGCCAAAGATCCCAAATTAGGAAAGTCAGTTGTTAGATCAACTCAATAGATTATTTTCTGAGCTTTTTTTTTTTTAATTTGGGGAAATACTGTGTTTCACAGCTGAGTGAAAATACAGATCTTAGGACTGTGCTTAGCTGGTATCACAATAATGCAAAAAACCGAAACTGGGTTGGGGAACGGAGCAGGGATGTGACAATTTGACAAATTTCATTTGTTGGGGTGACTCGTTTCTGTGTTAATGTTCGTGCAATAAATAAAATGGATTTTCAAAGAGTCGGAAGTTTGTTGAGCATCCAGCTAAGCCAGGCCCTGTGCTAGGCAGTTCAGAGGTGACCAAAGAGGGACCCCTTCCCAGCCCTTAACCACCACCCCCACCACTCCCGCCGCCCTCAATGCAGCAGCATCGAGGGGGCTCCTGCAAAGCTCCGTGCCCATGAGGGGCACTGGGAGGGAAGAGGACAGGACTCAGGCACACAGCCTCCCCTGGGGAGCTGGGTGCCGTGAGGTGCACTCAGGGAAAGCCTCCCAGAGCAGATGCTGATTGAGCCGAAATTAAAAGACTAACAGGGAGAGAAGCGGGGCAAGGGCATTGCAAGCAAGCAGAAGCGACCACATGAGCAAAGGCTGGGAGGCGAGACTTAACCTGGCATCACCTGGGGACCCACAGGACCTGGATGCTGCTGGAGCATAAATGTATGAAGGTCGAGTGCAGGGCAGCGTCTTGAATGCCAAGCTGGAGGCAGTTTAGACGTGATCCTCTCAGCCAGGAGTTAATTTCTTTGTTCTTAGCACACCCTCAAAGTCTGAAGACCT